AAGTACTAACTTTTAAATTATAATTTATAGCTTTCAATTTCTAAAATAATATTCTTATTCAAAAGAATTTCTACCTAAGAATGTTAGCAGAATATTCTTTGAAACAGTGTCCAAATGTATATAATTTTTCATATATAACATTAATATTCCAATTTTAGTTTAATGTAAAATTACAATAAATGAATAACTGTATTAAACAGTAATTAAAACAATAATAAAACTTTGTTATATCTAATAAAACAAAGTTAATATCCTACTATTCTAATAAAATACTAAATTCATAAAATTTCAAAAGTGTGGAAAATAATATTAAAATACAACATACTTTATATCATTACAGATACTTTTAACAATAAAATACAAATCATTAAAAATTTACACAATGCAATACAGATTCAGAAATCAAGAATTATTGTGTTAAAATCTATATTACCAATTACTAAACTTTAAAATTAATATATTTTTCTGATGAGTAGTTAATAATTTCATAATGAAGTAACTTTAGTCAAATCTTTCATCATAAATTTATACATTATACAAGTTTTAGCAATATACATTTCATAAAAATAAATGAATTGAACAAATTTTATCTGAATGATATTACAATTAATACTGTATATATGTTTTAACATTATCATTATAACTGTTCAAAGTACATCAACAATTAAAAAGTATCTCTAACATGATATTAATAGATAGAATTAAGTTCATTATGTAATTGCATTAATATTAATTGAAGTGTGCTGTTTGCAATGTTTGTCCACTAATAATCAATACAGTAGAGTCTCGAAAACTCGGCACTCGATAACCCGGCACTCCGGATAACTTGGCTACACCCTGGCAGGGCAAAAAAATCCTTAGTTAATTAATTTTAATTACAGACAGCTTTATAAAAGTATAAAAGCTCTCATAAAGTATTTTTCTGAGGTCTGTCTTATCAGGTAAATTACTGTACACAGTGTATTCATTAATTTTCATTTTCATGTAGTAAAGGCTCTATGCCTTCATAAAGGGTGTACTTTTCCTTTGTTTAAGAGTATTTGGGCAGTTTATTCTCTGTTGTATTCTCAAGTAAACAATACATACAAGTACAGTACAGTATTTTCTGAGGAAACACTCATACTTATTTTTTTTA